CAGTGGGATGAAATCATAGTTGACAAAGTGGTAAGAATTGGCTGAGAGGAAGTACAAAAGTAGATATGATTGGGTAGGTGCAAATATTCACTTGGAAGACAACTAATATAGCCGTCTGGCAAAATAAAACGTGAGAGCCCATAGGAGTTTAAATTTCAAACACATCACCTTAACCAGGCCAGAAGACTGGATCTAGTCATTATAAACAAAGACAAGAGAATTTGTCAAATAGCAAATGTGGTTGTTCCAGCAGACCACATGACAAAATTGAAAGTTTAATAATAAAAGTGGGTGGGGGGGATAATATCAAGACTTAAGAGAAAAAAATTAAAGTGGAATAAGTTGTCTAGAGTACCCATAATTATTAGAGCACTGGAGACAGTCACACATGAAATAACTGAAACCATCCAGATAACATTACTAAAATGAACCTAAAATAGTGAATATTGAGGAAACTTGTTGTCACTTGACAAATATTAATGCCATCAGAATGCAATGGGTATAAATAATAATTAAAATTACTTAAAAGAATACAGACATTTGTCATTCTTCTTGTAAAATTGTGCAATGAGGTAACTAAGTTTCAGTTTTTTTGTATTCATACATGAAATATCCTTAAATTGAGAAAAAAAATTAAATTACAAAAGCCTCATTCAAAAAAAAACAAAAAAAAAAAACAAAAAAAACAATGACTTTGGTCCATCTTTTCACAAAATATCAAAATTCATCAAGAACTTTGGGGGATATTTTGTTTACAAAGATGGATGAATATGTAACATTTGTTAATATCTTTGTTTGCAAAGGTAATAATAATAATAATGAAAACATGCTGCCCTTTGATCCCTAGCTAGTTACCAGGTCCTATTGGTGTGAAGAATAATCATGACAACAACAACATATAACAACAAAAAGTCACAATACAAACTGAGAAGATAAACATAAAAGGCACAAAATCCAGGTAATTTTTTTAAGAGAGCTCATAACATAAGTTTTCAATGCCTTTAGTAAAATAAATTATCACAAATAAAAAAAAAAAATCTTTAAATATATACAATATTTTTGTTTTTAATAATCAATTTAGGATTTTGACCAGTCCTCTGATTACTTAATTTTTGTGTAAGAATTAGTACTCACATTACTTAAATTAGTACTCACGTTACTTAAATTTTGTTTTTATGCCTGGTTTTAATAAACAGAAAAGAAAGAGGTTTCAATGTAACTTAATTAGTAGACTTCAACATATTTAGCTACTCTTTTTGATTACTTATACTTTAATGCTTTCAAACTATTGCTCTCAACCTGCTTGATATATTTTTTTAACTTTGTCTCCATGGGAATCTCAGTAGAACATCAATAATACCCATTCAACAATAAAAAATATATATATATATATATTTAAAATACTGAATATCATATAAAAACACTCTTCCTCAGTTTTCAGTTACATAAATGTGCTTTAAAAAATTGTTTTACATAAAAAAAAAAAAAAATAAATAAATAAATACTGAACTGGTTTTGAGAAAAAAATAAAAAATAAAAAAAATAATCAAATACTCAATTGTGTCCTACAAAGAAAAAAAAAAAATTAATGATATCCACTATAGATATTATTGTAGATACAATATTGAGCATAATAGTTTAAATAAATTAAGTGCATTCAATCTTAATCTATATCACAAAGATGCACTGAGGTGTATCATCAGTGATTTTAATACTGCGTTCATTGATAGTTTCAGGTCTTTCAAAATGATACCATATTGCCCAGCTGACTACCATTGATAATTGCATAACAACAGCACATATCCCAGCAGTAAATTACATTTAACCTTCAGTACATTGCGTTAATCTTGCCAAAAGTAACTGTAAAAAAAAAAATTAAAAAAATAAATAAATAAAAATTTGATAATTTCTTATCTCAGCATTTTGTAAATAAAAATGCAAAATTATCAAAAGCAGTATGAACATGCCATGATAACCAAGTGTCAAAACAATCTGACATTTGATTTTGTTGTAACCTACGGAAGGTTACTGAATAGAATAATCACACAAAGGTTGGTAATGAATGATAATACTTAGGACGAGAACAACAAATATAAGATTCACCAGCAGCGTGTGGAAGTAGTAGTCATCTGTAGGATATCTACCAACCACCCCATGTGGTCAGATGTGGTACAAGGCCGAATTTAATGTGAGGTATCCGAGCACATAGACTTGGCCAAAAATTCCATGTAGACCCCATATAAAATGGGGTTGGGTAGCCATTTCCTGAGACAAGACTCTGCCCTTCAACATATCTTTGTCTGCGGGCAGAGAGTTTGACCAGCACAGCTGGAGACAAATCTCCAACTGCAGGCCAACATTATTTACTACTGTATTTATGTGAATGGGGACATATCCATTATCATCCATAGGTATGCTACAACAGATTTAAAGGCTATAAGGTGGGGGAGATACCTTTGACGTCCTGTGTTGCTGTCATCTAGTGGTCATGTGTTCACTTCCTGAATTAGGAAGTAAAACAATGGTTTAGCAGGAAGAAACAAAATCTGGTGTCATAGGCAGAAAAAAAAAGCACAATAATCAAGATATCCAATAGTGGCTAAAAATAGTAGACACTTGAAGATGATCAGAATGTAGTTAATTGAAACATTGTATCTATAACGATGAAGATGAGAACAATAGTTTGAATAAATAAAAGTATGTTAACAATTTTTCATCTCAAGAATGAAATATAAAGTTAACTTTGTTGAATTCAATTATTTCTTTTGCACTGACGTCAAAGTGAGAGAAGTTGATTAAAATTTTGTCAAATCTGAGGACAGTTGTTTATAAAGAAATTTGTTCATCCTAAATAAATATCCTGAGTTAATGATCTGAATAAAAATTATAGAAAAGAGTAACTAATTCTTGTTTAATGCCTTTTGCCTGATTTGTTTTTCACTTACTGTTGATATTTTTAAAGATGTTGTTCAAAGGTAATTTCAGACCGTGAAAAACAAAAAGCATTTAGAATACAGATCACTTTCAGTGGTGTAGCAAGGGAGGTCAGTTGTACCCCACTCCAGGTGAAGATGTGTAGCAGGCACAAATTTTTGTTTGGAGAAAAAAAAATGTTTAGCTTAATGTAGCCAGTCTTATAAAATAATTCTTTGTTTTTAGTGTAAACCTAAATGAAACTTGTGACATCTCGTATTCTTTCTGTCCGTTTCGTAAACGTCAATGAAACTTGTGACATCTCGTATTCTTTCTGTCCGTTTCGTAGACGTCAATGGAACTTGTGACATCTCGTATTTTTTTCTGTAAATTTTTAGACGTCAATGAAACTTGTGACATCTCGTATTCTTTCTGTCCGTTTCGTAGACGTCAATGAAACTTGTGACATCTCGTATTCTTTCTGTCCGTTTCGTAGACGTCAATGAAACTTGTGACATCTCGTATTCTTTCTGTCCGTTTCGTAGACGTCAATGAAACTTGTGACAAATATTCTTTCTGTCCGTTAATAGTAGACGTCAATGAAACTTGTGACATGGAGAAATTCTTTCTGTCCGTTGGCAGACGTCAATGAAACTTGTGACATCTCGTATTCTTTCTGTCCGTTTCGTAGACGTCAATGAAACTTGTGACATCTCGTATTCTTTCTGTCTGTTTCATAAACCTTGGACACTAACATGAATGAATGGCTTCCCAAATGACTTCTAAAACTCTCAACAAGAGACGCAGCACAAATTTACTTTCTCCAGCTATTTCATTGAAAAGTAACATTATTGGTTGACAAGAATTTCAAGACGATCTCCAACTTATATAAGTATAATTAGTATATTAAATTAGTACCACTTTTACAATAATGATATTGAGACATTATTTTTCACTTGAGTAAGATGGTAATTGATTCTTTGTTCTTGTCATTAAGAGGATAAGAAGTCAAAACATTTTAGGTGTAACTCAGCTGGGAACGCCAAAATTGTATTCATCCCTGAGCACTGAGAACCCTTGCTACATCACTGCAATATTTTTATCAGTTTTTTTTCTTCTGGTTCCTTAAGCCACACTGACGTCAGTTGCTTATAAAAATAATTCTGTATTCTAGATAAATATTCCAATGCAGTCAAAAATGATAGAATATTTGGTTAAATCCTTACTGTTAAGTTTTCGAATATATTTTTCCAATTATTATTTTAATATGTAGTAATTCTTTTTGGGGGCTCAGTTTATCACTTATTAACAATAGAAAACAGATCACCCAGTTTATGCCCTGTAGAATCTTATATTAATACTAGTTTACCAATGAAGTCAAAATAGTCCTTATTAATTTTATGTTTTTACATCAGAGTTTTTAAACATATTTTCAATTATTTTTTTTTTTACCCTGCTCTTTCACACAGTCTCTGAAAACGTCTTCAAAAAGTCTGCTATTGGCATTATTAAGACACTGACATCTAGAGTCCGTAGTGAAAGGGAGATAACTCTCATAGAGCAAAAAGTTACAGATTTTATAAAGAAAAAAAGCAGTAAAATTCATTAGTAAGTACTAAGAAGGACTATAAAAATGGATAAACCAGCATAGAAGAAAAATGTATTTCGGCACCACCTTGACATCAGAAAGATAATCAAGATTTAAGATATAAAAATAAATTAAATAATTTTCAAATTTAAAAAAAAAAATTACCTTTTTAATTTTTTCTTTTCATCATGTAAAAGGCCTATGTGCATTCTTTGCCAGACAATGGAATAACCTAAGCACAGGGGGGGGGGGCTTATTGACGACATCTTCCCAGATAAAATAGCACCAAAAACTGAGACTGACCAATTTAAAAAAAAAAAAAGGGAGCAAGAGAAACGGTGAACACAGCAAAGGTCAAAGGTGAAGAAGAATATGCTAACACCTTCTCCATTTAACCCATGACTCAGTTTTGGCCATCTGTTGTTGTCGATGGTGGCACCATCATGTGTGACTGTCTTGCCCCCTCCCCAGCAGTTGTAGGAGAGGGGGCACGCACGTGTCAGCGGAGTGTCTGGGACATATGCAGAGCATTCAGCATCAGTTCAAAAGTAGCTCCAGTCAGGTTGGCTCCACGAAGGTTAGCATCTTGCAAATCGGAGCCAGAAAGATCGCAGTTCTGAAAATAAAAGAAATAATAATAAATTAATAAAATTACAGTTTGACTTTCTTATGCATGTTCCTTTATTTTTTTTTTTTGTCTGTAATTTCTGTCACATTAAAAAATAAAAATTACAAGTGAACCTTGCTCTAGTTTGAACTTTCCACATGGAATTAAGCAAGTAAATGACATATCTGCTATACTAGAATCTTGTGGCTTGTACAGCATGCTAAATTTACTTCCAAGTCCCAAGTGAGGTATAGATCCAATATGGTGCCATCAGGGAGTGAGACTTTAATCTTAGGTAGACATGCTAATCTATATCCACTCAGAAATTTGTTTTTCCTATATACAAGGTCTCATCAAAAAGTATTAGGACTGTTGCTATGGTAACATAGCTAAAGTACAGAGAGAAGCCGCTTGGCATAGATAAACCTTGAACTCTGCCACACACAAAGATGTTTATAGCATAGCTTGGAAGGAAAGTGTATAGAGTGTGGCTGTCTCATCCCACTACAGAGGTCCCATCAGTGACTATGGCATGCAATATAAATTTATTTAATAACCACCATATTCCCCAGATCTTGCACCTTGCAACATTTTCCTCTTCAAAAATCAAATCCCGCTTGAAAGGAACATGATTTCAAGATGTCGGGCAAATCCAAGAGAATGTGAAGCAGCAGCTGCTCACTATCCCCAAAACAATGTAAATGATGCTGGATAAAGTTTGTGGCTTGAGAAGGGGATTACTTTGAAGGCAATCAAATGCTGAATTGATACCAATACTTTTTGATCAGACCTCATATCCTGACCAGTGATTCTCAACATTTTTGCCCAATACAACACCCTTTTCACCATATGTCATCCCTGACATTCCAAATAATTAGCATATATTATTGAAAATCTTCATTCTTTTCCTTATTTTTTTTATAGAGGAATTTTACAAATTTAATAGCAATAGAAAATGTTGATACCATGATGAAGATTTTAATGAATGTTTCCCTTTCCAAAGTTTTCTCATCTTAATTCTAACTCCTCATCCCAGAAATTGATTTAAATATATTGGAAAATTACCAAGTTTTCCTTTGAAATCAGCAAAATACAAAGTTTAGGCAAAATGATCATGGTATTACGAAAAAAAGATGTCAATTTAAACTAGTGCCTTCATTTTTCCATATATTTAAACTATAATTTTGGAAATTTCTAAGTTTTCATTTGAAATTAACAAAATATAAACATTAGGCAAAATGGTCCCAATATTTGGTTAAAAGAAGATGCCATTTTAAACTGACACCTTTTTTTTTTTTTCCATACTCCTAAACTATAATGATAAACTATAATTTTGGAAAAAGAAAATTTCACTGAAATATGAGGTAAAATATCCAGGTTTACATTTGAAATCAAGAAAATACAAAATTTTAAGGAAACGGTAGCAATATGAAAATTCCTCAATTGGTGTGGCTAATGTGTACATTAAAAGATACGCATTAATAGAATATAAACTGATGTAATGGAATAACCAGCCACCCCCATGAATGATTACACTATAGGTAACAAGTACCTATAAAGTCAACTGTCTACAAGAGACTGGGGGAAGAGTGAGAGAGAGAAGACATAAGCATGTCTGACCTTCCAATTAGTGGTACTCACTACTAGATTGACCTGTGTGTATAACTGTACCGTATTTCATATTTGTACTGGTTGTGTACAATAAACCTTTCTTCTATTATCCACCTGGTGTTAAGTATTTATTCCCTTAGCACGGAATATAACAAACAAAATTGACAAACAAAAGGCAAGCAAGCCCAATCAGCTGGTATTTAACCCATAGCTCGGGGGAGAAGAGATGGATTCATACCTTTCCCAAGGAGATTTCTGCAATATTGAACATAAGCTTGCCAACCAATTTATTTTTTTTTTCATTTGCTAACCATTATACCACTCACACATCCATGAATCCATATTTTTATAGGCAAAATTTCAAGCTGGATTGGAATAAAAACAAATAACTAAATAAACACCCAACTCAATCAAATCATGCAAAATTTCTCCAGAAATATCCTGTCATTTAATATATGAGAAAAAAAAATATGACAAGGTTTAACTTTTAGGCCTACAAAAAAATTCTTTGCTAAAAGGATGGTTATTCCCTTGATATGGCTATTACTGTATACACTTTTGCCTCCCTCAGCAATTTTTGTTTTAAAAAATGATGATTAGAATTTTAAAAAATGAAAATTGGATTTACAAATTTTTTTAATATTTTTGCTGTCAATTTTCAAAAATATTAAATTGTTTGGGAAGTCACACACTTATTCCAGCATGACCTTCCTCCTTCAGAAGTGCCATCAACTGCATCATTGTGTTGTCGCAATTTCACAGCAATTTTAACTTTGAAAATGCCACAAATCACAGAAAGTCAAATCTGGATGGTGCAGAGTTGTCATTGATCAAGTTGGGTGATGAAATAAAAGCCCGCATGGGCTTAGGATCACATTGAAATACTTGTTCCAGTATGATAACCAAGGTTAAGCAACAAATTAAAAAAGTCGGTACCTAGATGGGTGACCGTTTGGGAATATCAAGTGCTGTAAGCTTGAATGTGCAGGTGCTGTAATGGATAATGGCTCAGAATTGGAAATTAAAGAGGCAGGTTCCAATTCCATTTATAGCCCTTTATGCTCAAATACCTTTTGAGAAATTATGAATCCACCTCTTCTCCCCCCAGCTATGGGTTAATTTGTAAGACTTGTATCACTAAACCATTATTATCTTTAAAAAAAAAATGCTTAAAAATATCTTCTGGCTTTAAATAAGCTGCAAACGGTTAATAAGCCATAGAAAATGAACCAATCAATCAAAAGACCGAGATGAGATGTGCAAAATCTTTACATTCTGTCATCATGAGTGCAATGGTCACTCAGTACATTAGCAATGGTGTTTCCCTGCTGACTGAGTAACTTCATCAGAGAGTGTCAGTTCATGCATGCACAGTAATGTCCCCTCTGATTGGTGGCCAAATTGCATGGAAAAAAAACAGCTCAAGTGTTTCTAGAGATACACAAAATAGTTGAACTGTAATAGCTGGATGTAATATTTTGTTCTTTCATTTCATGAATTGGGGAAGAGGATCACATCCAATATCTGGCAGATTCCATTGAGAAAAGCCTGAGAAACCCACCAGCCAAAACATAGATACCAAAATGAAGGTGAGAACACTAATATATCAAAAAAAAATCTATTGATCATTTCTCTGAAGTACTAGTATCCTTACCTTTGTTTTGACCATTATATTTTCAGTAATGGTCTTTTCAATCTAGTGCAGTGGTTCCCAAATGGTGTGTCAGAAGAAGATAGCAGGTGAGGCAGAATGATTGAAAGACAATCAAAGCTATAGAAAGTTTCAAAAAATTCATATGCCAAAAATATGATTTCAGAATTTAAAATATCATGGATTATTGTAATTCCCCATGTATAATATGGCTTCATCCATAACACATACCCCTAAAATTGTGCTGAAAGTGTGGGAAAATGCTTCTATTCATGCATAATATGCACCCTTTTTTTGGTAATCAAACCTTATAAATTGTATCTCTCCAATTTCATTACGGCTAGTGTTTCCTACTTAATTAAAAAAGTGGTCTTAAACATAGAATAAAATTATTCTAATTTAGTTTTATGATAATTATTTTATTTTACATTTGTAAGTATTGTTAGGTACACATGATTGTATTTGACATCCTTATGGGGTTGTAATCGCTGAATTTTATTATCAAATTGTCATATGTAGTGAGTAGTCATTTCGAAACTGAAATCAACCTATGAAATGGCAATTTTTTAAAATAGTTTTTGTAACTGTGCATTATACACATCCCTAATTTTGCTTCTTATTTTTTTTAGAAAAAAAGCGTATTATACATGGGAATTACGGTAATTGTAATTGGATGCATGAGTCCCAGTATAAATAGTTATAAATAATTATTGACCGATTTTTATCATTATGGTATTTTTGCATTATATCAAGAATTAAGAATAGAGTAACTAGGGTCTGCAAATTGGAGGAGAGAGTTATCAATAATAATGTTCCAACTTCAAATCCATGGTTATCTCTCTTTAATCCAGTCTCAGTGTTTTTATTTTTAAATGTAATTTTTATCACATAAAATTTGGTGAGGCACAAGCAAATTTTTGAATAAAAAAATGTGGCAAAAAGAGAAAAAGTAAGGAACAAAAGAACAGTGTCTCAGATATTCAGATAACAAAAATGCACGGAATAGAAAGGAAAAAAAAAACATTGAATATTCAAAATCTGAAACTCATTTTGAAGTGAACCATAAGATTCTGAATTTAAACAATGTTCAGTTAAGAAAAATAAACAATTTATTTCTGAAACTGATCTCTAAAGTGTAATCAATAAATCTAATATTTACCTCTAAGTCTGCTCCAGCCAGTACAGCCCCACGTAAGTCACAGTTTTGCAAATTAGCATTTTTAAGAGTTGCTACCCGTAAATTCACACTTGCCATATGGCTACCTTCAAGAATTACATTTTTCATCTGTGCACCTACAAAAATGAATAAAAATTGCAGAAATTAACTGACAGGTAAGATTTATCAGTTTTCATGTAACACAAGTGTGAAAAATTAATAAGTTGGTCATTTTTGGCAAGTAAATATGCTAATTAGGTAATATGGGATGAATGAATAAAACTTATTTACATTCCAACTGATGTCCTCAACTTTATTGTTGTTGTTGTTACAATGTTTTGGCTGTAGTGCCCTTCAAACTACTTCAGGTGTCTGTCACCTCAGGTAACCTGCAGAGAATTTCAAATTGGACCCTTTATTTAATCTCTGAGGATAGATTGCTTTTATTCTAATGTCCATATTGAAGGATATTGTTTTGAGTCATACTCAGCACTTGTCTTGTTCCCACTGAGTCTATACTACCCAGCTCAGAGATTGAACCCACAATTACTATATCACCAAATTCATCCAATCCTAGACATGAACTGTTTGATGAGAATAATCTATATAGATTAAATAAAGGGTTCAGTTAAAAATTCCCTGAACATTACCTGGGATGACAAGACACCTGAAGAAAGCTCAAGAGTACAATGACCAAAACGTGATAATAATCTAAAGAATGATAAATTCCACCTGAAAAATTTGGACAGAATGAGTCTGTAAAAATTGTTAGAATTCTGAATAGAATTTATTTCCCCACTTAGGAATTCAGTGAAAACTACACTTACAATCACATCCTATTTACCATTATGAAGAGGTATCACTTTCAAAAACAAAGAAAAGAGTGCTGAACTGTTATGTAATATTGGTCCTCCTGTATGGCACTGAATGTTGGACAATCTCCTCACAGATGAAGAATAAACTGAAAGCAATAGAAATGTGGTTCTACAGAAGGATGATGAGAATACCATGGTCCAAACATGTGACACCCACATCAAGGAAGATATGATTTCATCTCAATCTTAAGTGTTTCCGTTTTGTATCAGTCTATACACATACGAGGACACATGGCACAGTGGATAAAGGTGTTAGTTAGATCCAGTGACAGGAAGCAAAGAGTGTGAGTTCAATACCCGGTTAAGGCAGTGGAGAACTTAATTAACAGGAAACAACTGACAACTAACATCCATTAGACATGGCACATGAAACTAGAACAGTCTACCCCAGTGAGCGAAATAAATAATAATAAATATGGCGACAAAGATGAGGACAATAATCTGAATAATGTAAGTAGTGTTTCCGTTTTATGGCAAGTGAATGGTTCTTTGAAATTATCTAAGTGGCATCCATTTAGTCTGAACAGGAATGGACGAGTAAAGGAGTGGATGGGGGCTTTTGTAGAGCAAGCAATAACAAAACCAGACACCAGGTGTATCCAGTTGGTGGTCTATATTAACAGTCATGCTTCGGATTGGAGAGTTATTATTTGCCTTTGTCCATTGTGTGGTTTCGATGCCACCTATTTGTATTGCCAGCAACCTATTAGGATATATAGATTGGATAGGAGTTTATAGGAGGGTAGAGCTGATCTATGAGATCAGTATATCATGTCCCAAATGTCACCTACCTAACCACCAAGGCAAGTAGGTAAAGCCCTGAATAAAACATCTAAATACAGTAGAATCCCTGACACCCAGACTAAGAAGGCCTTCCAGATATGAGGAATTGGTTACAAAGTCCAGATATGAGGGGTTATATTTAGATTAAAATAAAAAAAAACTGAAATCAGGTTTAACATTTATTTTCAGTGTTTTATAGTAAACAAAATAAGCTAATGGTGAGTGAAATATAATGGAATTGATTTTAAGGAAAAAGAAATAAATTATATGTTAATGAAAATTCACAAAATTAAGTATGCCACATATGCAAAACAAATAATGTAACAAGGATTTTTTAATCACTGTTGCATGATGATTCTTTCTCTTCTAATGTCATTCTCAACTTTTTCCGTATTTTGTTTTGCTTTTGTTCTTGAAATTTATTTAAATGAAAGATACTTTTTAACTCTGCATGTGTTATTACAATCATCATAGCTGAATGCTGGTTTTCTTTCCATAAAACTTTTCAATATCTTTTTCAATTTCAGTCCAGGTTTCATCACAATCATGTTTTTTATTTCCTTGTTCATTGTGACAGTGTGAATGCTGGAGAATTGTTTCTTTGGAAGATTTCATATCATACAATGTAGACTTTCCTATGTTGAACTCATCTGTTACTTATAATGAACTTTTACCAGTGTCTAGTCTGTTTAAAATTTCCACTTTTTGCAATAACTCCAAAGTTATTCTTTTCCTCTTATTCCCATCATCTTTTGCACCAATAAAAGCTGCAAGGCTGAAATAAGCATAAGCAATTATCCAAAGTAAGTTTCCTGAAAGACAGAAATTTCAAATTAGTTACATATCACCCAAATAGTTCAAATATACACATCAAAATCAATTCCGGATACAAGGGATTCTGATGTATAATAATAGAAACAAGATTCACATTCTCACTTCTCAATGTCGTATTTGTTTTACATCTCCATTACTTTGTGGGCAATGCATAAGGACCCTTCACAAAGGTTAAACAAATATCCAAGAGAACTGGAGAAATTTGGTTCACAACATTATAGGAACAAAAGAAATAAAAAATATATTCCTTTACCTTCCATGTTAGCTTTCTGCCCAGCAGGATCTTCAAAGTTACAACTTCGTAAACTGGAACCTTCCAGATTGGCACATACCATTTTTATTCCTAGTAGGTTGGCACACTATAATTAAGGAAAGAAATGAGTTTAAAGTGTGTGTGGGCGGGGAGAGAAAAAGAAGTAAATCTTGATTAAAATTCTGAGGATTGTTTTTTACAGCTTATCAACAACTTTGCAGGTTATTTGCAGCCGAAACATATTTGGGATTGTAAGAATTTTTTTCTTTTGCGAGTTAACAATATTTTGCAAATAACAATGATTTTTCCAGATACAAGTCCTATTATTTAACCCATAGTTGGGGGAGGAGATGGATTCATACCTTTCCCAAAAGTATCTCTGTGTAAATGAATATAATGAACCCAATTGGAATTCAAACTCAGCTCTTTGATTTCTCATTATGACACACTATTCATTACACTACCCACATATCCACCATTAATACCAAGATGGAGAGTAACTTTTTAAATCTATCTCTCTAACTCCATACCGACAGAAAAAATATTTTGACGGATCAAAGAAGTAGTTTGATTCTTATTGTTAGAGTTAAACATGATTTTTTTTTTCTGATACATGTCCAGCTATTTAACCAATATCTATGGGGTGACGGATTCATGCCTTTCCCAAAGCTATTTGCACTTAATTTGGGCTGCATATCATTTTCATTACCTACATATGTCACCTTTTTAAAGAACTATTATTGTCAAGTTATCTTGAATTAATATTTTTCTCTTTTGTGATTATCTCATATTTTTGCTGCTGATGCATCCTTTGGTTTATTCCAGGTATGTAAAGTCCACCTGGTTAGAAGGGGGAGTTCTGACTATAGATAACTGTGGATCTTCTGGAAAATGCATCTATCAAAACCAGGCATTCTCAACAGGTATGATAAATTTTCACAAACAAGTTCTTTTCTTTCATAGTAAGTGGAAACATTCATGAATAAGAATTACGAGTTTATGTTTTAATAAACGTTTCTAAATTTATTCTTTCTCATTTGTTTACAAAATTAAGTCTTTAACTCTTTAAAGATGAAAAATTATTTTTAATGATACCTCAATCATATTGTGTCCAGCAGAAATACTTTTTTCATAAAAACGGTTACACATCTCTAAATGTTTCAACTGAAATTTTTGAAACATTTCATTCAGTATCTGGTAACAAGCGTCATCTGCTATCACTCACTGACTTGCGCATTGCACTGCAGTGTTTGAAGAGTAATCGTGAGAAGTGGATAATGCCCAATTTTTATGTTAAATAGTCACAGTGATAATATTAATAATTAGATCAACTGTTAGTGACAATAACTTTGTGTTGAAAATATTGTTTCTGGGTTATATTTTTCAAGAGGGTACAACTTGGCACAGCCAACTCAGTGCCAGGACAATTTTATTTTTTGGAATTTTGAAATTTGTATTTTTGGGGTTTTAACATGATTAAATTAATAAATTTATATTAATTTTTATAAAAAAAAAAAAAAAAAATAACAAAACTCAAGCAAAATTATGAAAGTATTTTTTTACTCTTTATTTATATAAGTTTTAAAAATTTTTTTTAGCAAGAATTGCTTTTTTTATATGTCATTACAACCATCACCACCAACTTCTTGTGTGTTTGGCAAATAGCTCCCTTTGTTATCTCTTATAAATCTCATGTCTTAAATTCTATACATTCTGGTGTGCTATGCTCTTATTGGTAACTCTGAATTCTAAAATTTTTCAAGTCTTCTAAAATCTTAACAGTATTGTGCTGAAAGTAAGTAATTCGGCTTGCTTATAGCTTTATTTAGGTTTTACTTGCCTAGTAAATTTTCCATATCTACTATATTTTTTTTGGACTGGCATTTACCGAGCACATGGAGGACAACAACAACTTGAATAAAATGGTTGACTAAATGGAGTAAGCCAAATTGACTGAAATAGTGATGCAATCTCATCACAATATTTCGACAAGTACATCTCGGATTAAACAATTGGATCACCATAATTGAACTATTGTTCCTACTTTATCCGCTGTTAATTGTAACTAGGTTGAATAATATCATGTCATTGGACCCAAGTTGTTCAGATTTAGTTTGAGGAGCTGAGTTCTGACAAATCGAGTGTCCAGCATGAGCCCAGTCAAGCATTTATGGGACATACTGGAATGGGCTATTCAAATGCAAGATCCAGCTACCGAGATGGCATAGCACAACATTTGTGCATATGTCTGCTAACCGCTTTTGTAATTGATGTCATGTCATTAGGTTTGGTTTGTTGTGTTTTATGGCATATCAACCTCAATGGATTATTTAATGCTGACAAAGTTTTTATTGCTGGTAATATTTTTTTTTTTCAAAAATTTATTGCTGGTAATAGTTTCTTTTTTTCTTCAAAAATTTATTACTGATAATTTTTTTTTTTTTTTAAAGTATTCCTGGTATTAAAACCTATTTTTACCCCAGTTTCAGGGTTAACTATTTGACCATAGCTGGGACTCTAACAGGTGCTACCACCCCGGGTCAGGATGGACCTGGGAACACCAGCAATTAAGCGGTGGTTCCGTGCTCCACAAAACATCCTGATCATGGCCTTGCTGCTGGACGTAGTTTATCGTCTTACCCAGGACGGCATGTCATTAGGTGTAAGTACTTATTGAATGTGAATCTCACACAATAATAGGTGAGATTATATCATTTGTTGTTATTCATGGTTTTTCTTTGAATTCAGTCTTAACTACTATAATTATCAGCACTGTACATCTGCTTATGAATTCCATTTAGTCAACTGTTTTATTTAAGTTGTGTATGTCTAGATGAGTGCAGTCAACCATTTATCGGATATATTAGAGTCATTTATTCAAATGCAAGATCATGCTTATACAAATGGACATCTTGATATCAAGGAAGTGAGAGAGCATTAAGATTAATGAATAAAATTAAATGTTCATTTATCTATTGGTACTCTGAGTTTCATAGATACTTTATTTGTTACTATATATATATATATATATATATATATATAAAATAATGAAAGTGGAGTCCTTAGAAATCCATTGGTAATAGATTATTTCATGGCACCAGATGCTCATCTCTTCGGGCCAAAATTTTTTTCTGGATAAATTTAAAATCCACTTACTTTTTGTAAAATTTTGGTCTGAAAAGACGGGCGCCTGATCCCATGAAATAAATTATTACCAAAGGATTTCTAAAGTCTCCGCTTTCATTATTATATTTGCTTTGTTTTTTACATCGAGCTCTCTTTGGATTTATATCCTCCTTGGAATTATTCCTACTAATTATATATATATATATATATATATATATATATATATATATATATATATATATTTGTTTGTTTTACGCCATATCAACCTCAATGGGTCATTTAATGCCGACAACTTTTTTTTTTTCCCTAATAATATTTTTGTTTTATCAAAAATTTATTCCTGTTAATATTTTTTTCCTCAAAAATGTATTGCTGGTAATATTTTTTCAAAAACGTATTGCTGGTAATTTTATTTTTTTTTCAAAAATTTATTTCTGATAATAATTTTTTACAAAGTATTTCTGGTATTAAAACCTATTTTTACACTTTCATAATTCTTTTTATCTCAGTTTCAGGGTTAACTATTTGCCCATAGCTGGGACCCTAACAGGTGCTACCACCCCAGGTCAGAGTGGACCTGGGAAGACCAGCAATTAAGAGGTCGTTCCACACTCCTCAAAGCCTCCTGATCAGAGGCCTTGCTGTTGGATGTAGTTTACGCCATGCCCAGGATGGATATAGATAGATATATATATATATATATATATATATATATATATATATATATATATTGTACATGTAGCATAGTTATCAGCATGGAAAGTGAGATTGAAAAGCATGAATCTATCTCTTCTCTCCCCCAGCTACATATTGAATAGACACTACAAAAACAACTTAATTAAATTATTTACCTACAAACATACTAAGTATTTACCTACAAATTAAACCAAATGTCTGCGTCATCTTTACAATGGTAAATATGAGCAAAGTTCCAAAAAACATTTACAGGAAATTGTAATATTAATATTAGCAGTTTCCTTTATAAGGAAACATTTGACATTCAGTGACTGAGCAGCTAGTACTTCTGTCAGTCGAAATTTATAAAATATTTGTGAATAAATTTATATGCTGGCGGATAAAAACAGAATGAACACTTACATCTAAAACAGCACCCGAAAGATCAGCTCGTTCAAAATTGCAATAAGAAAGATTAGCTCCAGACAGATTTGCATTCCTCAAAATTGCGTATTTAAAATTTATATACCGCAAATCAAGTCGAGATAGATTGGCTGTCTGAAAGTTGAGACCCTGTAAGAAATAGAAAAAAAAAATTGTCAACCATTTACTAAACTCAGCTAAGACACAAAACCAAATGTGATGCTGGGTAAAAAGATTGTGTTTCACCAAGCTTCCACGTGAGAATGACTGTTGTATATTTGAGCAAGTTAATAATGGTAATACTAGACATCTCTTTTTAAGGAAACATTCAGCATTCATCAAGTGCTACTCAAGATTTTCTACACTCCTTGGGAATCAGGTTAGGATCAAAGTTTGGTATCCTTTTTCCTCATCTCTAATGGTAAAATTAGCCATTTCCTTATAAGGAAACAAGTCAGCATTCACTGTCTGAGCAGCCAGTGCTACTTTCAGTTAAAATTTAAAAACAAAGAAATTGAAAACAGTCTTTTAAATTGGAAGGAGCTGCTGACCAAAGTTTCTTTAAACTTAAAAATGAAAATTTACCTTCTCAAAGGTTGCAAATTATTGAAAATACATTTTTGATAAATAAAACTTAAATTGATTTCAATATTTGTTTTTATATTCTTTCTGGTAACACATAATTAATTTCTAAACATCTACAGTTAAGAGTTTATTAAACAAAAAAAAAAAAAAAAAATTTTCTCACCAAATGGAATCATCAAAGTTGATTAATATAAAAAAAAAATATGCAAGTCTCACCTGACATCGTAGTTCCGAGTTTGTCGGTGTAGCCAAAAGCTTCAACATAAATTCTCGCCTACTTATTGGAGTGTTATCATCTGCAGGTGCATTACGCTAGACACAAAGAAATGTATTGATGTTCAAAAGGTACAAAAATTTATAATAGCTAAAAAAATACTTAAAGAAATTAAAAGAAAATCACTTAACCTAGATATGTTCAATAATTCACAAAAAAAAAATAAAAAAAATAAAAAATACAGCATATCATGATGAAAAAAGGCCCCAAACTTAATCAAAACAAAGTTTTATCATGAAAAAGTTTGTTATTAATAAAAGGAAAGACCAAATTATTTTTTAATTATTTTTTTAAATTTTTTTATTCCTTTCTAGCACATTTGAATTTTTTTTTTTTATGTCAGCAGTCACATAATATTTAGCATTATTTTTTTAGTGCTTTTTTTCAGTTGAAAGACACATTAATTTGGAAATTCTTGCAAAAAATCAAATAATTGTCGGATTCTAACGAAACTTTCAGAACTTATTCAAAATTGAATGAAATTATTTTAGAAATGTTTCTTGTTTAGAAAGTCTTGGTAAAATTTTTTTTCATTAACATCTGTTACCCCTCCACCATTTAATTTTATGAAAACTCAAATAAGTGTATCGCTGTAATTTTTTAATTAAATGTAGAAGACTCTGAAAAATATAAACCATCGATTTTTTTTTTTTTTTTCTTCATAAATTGAGGAGCATTTCTACCCAAACTTCAGTTCTGAATTGTAAAATACAAAACCCAATAAAACTAAAACATTATTTAATTAAAAAAGTTTTTAATGGCTTTTATGAATAATATATATTAAGGATATTATTGTCTGAGACCAAAATATTTTCTCAATGAGAAATGAATTTTTACAAGAATTGTTTTCTTTCAATTTTAAATACAAAATGTGATAAAGTTGTTAAATATTTTAAAATTAAGTTTGAATATGTGTATCTCTGGAAATGCTTTTATTAAAGATCTATTTTTACAGATCTTAAATTTGAAAGCTTATTACAATCTGCAAAGCGTTTCTATTTTAACAATAATTTTTAATATGCCAAAAAAATATATTAAAAAAGTTTCCAGCAAAAATATAGAGACACAATTCAGAAATAATGTCCCATTTTAAAAGTTTTTTTTCTCCTGATAGTGAGGATCCAGCCTCATAAATAGAATTGATTTTGTGTCAAACTCTCTGTCACAATCATCACATTTTAAAAATTTTTAATTTTTTGTTTTTTTTTTCATATATATATCACTAAATATTTCCTTTCATTTTTCAAATATAATTATTTTTTTTTCTTTTTCTGTGAGAGATATACTGCAATTATTAATTTTTCCTTTTTTTAGATTCAATTTTGGGGACTAAAAAAGTGTAGGCTTTGGACATATCTTCATTAAAAAAAGTACTTAAAAAAAAAAATCAATAAAATATTAGACTTTTGAAAGTGTTTAATTTTTAAGAAATACTTTAAAATTAAATAAACTAATTTACTTAAAATTCGAAAATACTGTCACTTCTGGCCTTCCATCCAATAAATTGACCTGACGTTAGTTGTTGATACATTGGCGTAAACATCAATTCCCACCTCCAAAACCAATCACCACAGTTAGACATGTTTCTCTTATTTCCAACTAAATTTTTTCTGCTAAAAAATTAAGTGATGTTTGTTTCAAATTACATTAAATATACTTTAAATTTTCTAATTTTCCTTAAATAACTTTGAAAAAAAGTATAACTGAATTTTACAAGATTTTTAAAATGGAGAATTTCACTTTTGTTTACAAAGTTGTCAAAAATGACTGACATGATTGATTTTATGTAAATTTTGTTGACTCACAAAGAAAAAAAAAGATTTTTAACTAAAATTTCGGACCTACTAGAAGGGATTAAAAAATATTAAAAAAATACTTTGGTCTTTCCCCTTAAGAATAACAAACATTTAGACGATAAAAAAATTGTTTAATCAAGTTTGGGGCCTTTTTTCATCAGAGTATACTTTTTTTAGTGAAGTATTGAACATACCTAATTTAATGAGAGAAATCTTATTAAAGAATAATTCACTTCCAGCAGTATTTGAACCCCACTTTCATCACCAGATATGGGTTGGTGAAAGCATGTTGGAACTAACAATAGTTTAACCTGCAAAGGGGAACGCAGGTTTGCATCCTGCTGGAGAATGCATTAATAAGATTTCTCAAATATTCAGGCCAGTAGACAAAATAAGATAATATTTAAGATAAACGTAGCATCTACTCAAATATGGGTATCAATTAAAAATAATTTTTAAAGTGATAAAAATCATTATTTTGTAAAGTAAATATTTGTTTTTTTTATCATTAAGATGAAATAAAATACTGTTTAAAATAAACGGAGCATCTATTTAAATATGGGTATCCACTAAAAATAACGTGTAAAGTGATAAAACTATGTCAAGTTAATAAATAAAAATCCATTATTTCTTCAGAAATACCTCAATGATCTCTTCTAATATTCCAACTAGATAGTCAAGGCCAAAGAATCGGGCTTCTTCCAGAACACCTGAAGCAGAAAAAACACAACACAAAATAATTAGAGCATTTATAAAGTTTGTTTTAAATATTGCAAGAAAAAAAAATTCAATTGAAAGTGTTTTTTGTCTTTTTTTTAAAATTAAATCAAATAAAACGTGAGTAAATACTTATTTCTCCAAATTCTCGCTTGAGAGAAGGGAAATAATCATAGATTTTTTTCTCAACAAATCCTGATTACTTCCCTTGCATAGTTGACATACTTGAAAAAGCGAGCTATTTTTGTTTTACTAATGCCACAATCGGTTAATTATCTTAAAAAGACACACTGACTTTTTAAACAACATTTCAAATGTAAACGCTCAAATAATAGTCAGGTTTTATATCAACAGTTTCATTCTTAAGTCTTTAAAAGAAAAAATATATACTTCTTATAGGTAAGAGGTTAGGTTATCCCATTTAATTTTGAAAAAAAAAAAAAAAAAAAACGTCCCTAGGGGGCACTCCTTAAGACTATAAAAAAAAGCGTGCATTTCTTTCCCTAGCCTCTTTTACAACTTTTTGGCTCTGGGTATCAGATGTAATCACACGTGGGTAAAGTGTCCCTTATGGGATATGTTCATTTTCATGGTTTTGCTTGCTTGCTTACTTACTTACAAGCACATTCTTATTATAGCTAGTTTTATGTTTTTTTTCCTTTTGTCACATATAATTCCTTTGTTAATACATGCATTGTCATTCGTTTTATATTTATTTACTAATGTTAGTAATATCTGTCTATATTTCTGAGACAACGTAACAACTACCCTGGGTACATGGCAGCAGACCTAAAAAACTAGGATAGGCGGGTACAAGAGGAGGACAACAACACTCAGAAAACAGTCTGCCTGCCATATGTGAAGGAGTTATCAGAGAAAATACAAAGGATCTGCGGTCCACATAACATCAGGACAACCTTCAAAAGCTTGACAACACTTCGCAGATATCTCTCACATGGGACAGTGGATAAAGGCATTGGTTAGATCCACTGACAGGACCCAAAGAGTGTGAGTTCAATACCCAGTTAAAGCAGTGGAGAACATTCTGAGAGAAATTAACTGACATCCATTAAACGTGGAACTAGAACACTCTACCCCAGTGAGTGATACAAGTTCGACATTCCGACCACCAAAAGAAGACCAGAGTGTACAACGGCTAAAACATTGTAATAAATATGGTGACAAAGATGAGGACAATAGTCCAAATAAGGTAATGTTACTAATTTTTTTTACTTGGACTCACATTGACTCTGCCAATATTGTTTGTGAGATAAATTTTCCAGGAGCCTATAAATATTTACTATCAAAAGTGTTGATTCCCACAACATAATGGTGATTAATATTTATTTACCCAAACATATTAGCATCCTACAAAAGTATCACTTCCAAGAGAAACATCAAATAACTTCAAGATCTTTCTCCTGACAGCAACAAGAAAAAGCGTTAAACCTAATGTTAGAAGATACAATGTCATATAGGCATACATTTATTTTTGTTTAGGATTTTGACATTTGTTAATGTTAGTGATGTATTTACACTGTACTCATTTTTGTTGTTTTTCTAAATAGCAATAATAATTAGTATAGTACCCATAAAAAATTACAGGATTATTTACACATCTGCCTATGATCAGAGAATGTGTGCACTCTGCCTTTAAGTTGTTTTTTCATGGCTTTTATGGGTTATTTAAAGCTGGAAGATGGTTTAGATTGTAAGAATAATTCTTTTCTTTTTCTTTTGCAAGTGAATATTGCATTAACAAATTTTTTGAAAATACCAATGACTTTTCTTGATAGAAGTCCTTTTTAGCCAATAGCTGGGGGGGAATGGGTCCATACCTTTCCCAAGAGTATTTCACTGTCAGTGAATGTAACGAACCCAATTGGAATTTGAACACGACTCTCCAATTTCTCATACCTAGTTGCTATCCATTACACCACCCACACATCCATTCAGACTTGTACTTCCTAGTTCTTCAACTTAGAATTAGTGTACTATCTACAGCACACAGAGAAACACAGTATAGCCATAAACTGTATTTTTTCATTTTCACATGTCAATAGAAATGGGGGGGGAAGCAAGATGGAAGAAGTGTAAACAAGGAAAGATGGAGGATAATTAAGAAATGAAGGTAGAAACAAAAAGGAACGAAGAGAAAAGATGGAAACAAAAAAGACATGGATAGCAAGCCTGAGTAATAAAGCCTTGAGGTTTTTTCAAAATCTTTTATTCCTTTGATCTTATAAAGTAGGTAAAGCTTTATTTAACTGTGGATTGAATAAATGAATAGAGAAAGAACTTATCTTAGTCACTTATCTTAATACCTTCAAGAGAAACTTAGTAAATGGGGAGAGAGTTTTTATAGACAAAGATCAGATCATGTGTCTATATTTCTGAGATAAAGAATTGTAATTATTTACATTGTCCTACTCATCTTTATTGCCATATTCATGATCTTTTGGCTGTTGTAAATTCCGGCCTTCTTCAGGTGATTGGAATTTCGAACTGAACCCTTTATTTTGTCTGCCTGGGTAGATTGTTCTAGTTCCACGTGCCATGCCTCTTCCGGATGTCTCTGCCATCTCTCTTTAATCCAACTATCCAAGCTTTTGTTCACCACTGCAGTAGCCAGGTATTGGACTCAAAACTCTTTGGGTCAAGTCACTGTGAGTTCAATACCTGGCTACTGCAATGGTGAACAAAAAAGGGAGATAACTGAGACATCAAGAAGAGGCATGTCACATGGAACTAGAACAATCTACCCAGGCGGACAAAATAAAGGGTTCAGTTCAAAATTCTAGTCACCTGAAGAAGGCCGGAGTGTACAATAGCTGAAACGTTTTGAATATGGCAATAAAGATGAAAACAACAGTCTGAACAATGTAAAGATCAGGGCATTGTGGTTAATAAATATCCAAGATATATATAGGGTGTCCGTAAAGTCTGTGTGCAATTTAACATACTTAAATATTTTTAATTGCACACGGACTTTATGGAAACTGTGTATATTGTGAGTTAAAAAGGAGCAGCAGTTGCGTGAGAATTAGGATAGAAAGAGAAAAGAGACATTAATGCAATCAGGAATTGGTAAAAGGTGTAAAACCTTACAAACCAGATATTATTTTCCCTCTAGCTAAATTCTGTGGTAGGAATTTATAATACGTGCAATTCTTTTGGAGTTATTGTTCCCTTTATTTAAACCATAAACTACATTAATTTTTTTCTCTCTTTTTTTTTTTAAGCATAATGCACAACAATATGGTATTAACATAAATATAATATAAAATAATCGAAAGAAAAAAAACGATAGTAAACCGATATAATAATTTTGAAAAATAAAGGGAGGTAACTCAAGAGGTTAAAATGTCTTACCTTCTGGGTTTACTCCCTTGTCTAAGATTAACTGGCCGTGACGTAAGTAATTTAGAATTGGTTCAAAGTAAGTTGGGCTGCGATCAATCAAATAGGCACCATTTGCATCCACTGAACTGTTCCACGGAACTTCTGAAACGAATGTTTGTTTTTAAATATACTTAACACCTTTTAATGAAACATTTTCATGTCAACAGAAATATTAAACAAAATTTACCAAACTTTCCTTTTTTATTTTTTATTATTATTATTTTTTTATTAGATATAGTAAAAAAAAAAAAAAAAAAAGTTTAAGCTTCAAAGTTCCAGCATTCATTTTCCAGCAGTAAGCAGTCAGTGAATGTATAGGATACAAATCCTATATTCCAACAAATGACTAAAAAAAACACAAAGTAGATTTGCACACCCGCAAAATCGGATCAAAACGACCAAAAACAGATTTCACAATAAGTTGTGAAATTAATTTTTCTGACCAATGAAAGGAGGCGATTTGCTAAACCAAAAAAAAATAGATAATGAGCCAGTGTGAAAAAAAGTCAACAACAAATACAGAGTTTTCAAGTCAGTTGCCAGTCAGTCAGTCAGAGAAAGGCATAAAGATCACAGAAGATTGACAGTAAATTTCATCACTGACTCAAACCGACACAAAGAGGAAGGAAAGTGGAGTAGGAAAGAACAACAACAACAAATTTACAACTGACTCCAAAACAATTCATAAGTACATTTTCCTTTTATCTTTATTCCTCATTCACACTCTCTTTTTCAATTTAAATTGCTCGCCCCCTTTTTCATTTGCAACTATACAAATATATATTACTCTGCTACTCTGTTAAAAGACAATGAACACAGACATTTTTATCAAAATCACATTTTAGCTTAAACAAACTAAAACATTAATCTTTTTTTACCCTATTCACAAGATAATAAACATACAATGTTCTATTTTCTATAAACGTTCCTTATCGTGTTGTTTCTTCTTGAGATTTGCGTTTTATTTTGTGGGCAGGGTATCCCGTATTAAATTCTCCTTTAATCCGGGTATGCTGAACCCCACAAATGACAGCTGTATTATACTATTTGGTTTTTCAAAGGCTTCAGTTCCTTTAAAAAATAACAATGCTAATTGGTTAATATATGCGAATGTAGAAATTCAAACTGGAGCTGATTTTGTGCATAAAAAAAATGATCAAATTTGAGTTTTAGTAATATTAAATATATTGAATTTTTCTATAATATTTTGTCTAGTTCTTATTTTAGTACTGCTCAGTTACTGCTTCCCCCTGTTTCTACTGAGTTCAAGTATACACACTGTCCAGCCCTGGGATTAAATTCATAATTACTATGTTATCAAATTCACAAAATAATGCTTTCATCTGCTACTGGATTAAAGCATAGATTAAGTAAAAGTGTTTAGCTTGAAATCCCGTTAAAGTTACCCAAATCAACAAGTACCTGATGAAGATATAATGGCTGAAACGTAATAACAATAACAAAGATGAGGACAATAGTCTGCATGTAAATAATTTAAAAGGATGTTTAAAAATAGTTTTATTCCTGTATTTATGATCAGTAAAATGACTTAATAATTTATAATTTATTTACAAATATTAAAATTTAAATTTATTCAATTACCAACATTAAATTACAAAAATGCACACCTCTATGGATTTATAACAATCATAATAAAGTCGTTTATATCTTACCTGATTGATCAGAAAACATTCGAGCCAACATGCTGTTTGGTTCCTGCCTTGTTAATGTACTCCTAAAATTGGAGGTGGGGAGAAAAAAAAATTTCAATTTTTTTTTTTTTTTTTTAAATCGTTATCACCCTATGCAAGGTAATAAAGCCACTAAGACAAAAGGGGTTACAGATGGTTGGAAGAAGCAAGAACAGAAGCATTAATAATGAGCAGAAAGAGTAATCAGGAAGATAGTAGATAGCGATAGACACTGCATTTAATTTTTTGCAGATTAAAGTTGGCTGGAAAGCATAGAGCCGGAAGGGAGTTCCACAAGCGAGAAATGCAAGTTAAACTGTTAGCATAGAATTTACAGCTACCTCTAACCAGCTCAACTGTAAATTGATGAGATCTTGATGCCAGTCTAGTACTGTGCTTAAATTCAAAAAGTTTAGGTACAAGCTCATCTGAACAATTACCATGAAAGTATTTATAGAAATGGCACAGAGAGGCAATCTTATGGTAATCGGAAAGTGACTGAAGCTGAGCCACCAGATCAGGACCAATAATATTGCTGATTCTTCTTTGAATCTTATCAAGGAGCTCAAGGTAAATAGCAGGGACACTGGATTATATGTGGCAGCAATATTCTAAGCATGAACAAATGGTAGACACAAATATATATGATAGATTCTGGAAAGAAAAATTATCTTACACAACAGTGAACCAACTTTCTTAGCAGCTGACCTAGCAATGGATTCACTATAGTCTTTCAACTTCATATCAGCTGAGAATGTGAGCCCGAGACGGTGCAACAAGTTACTTTTCTGGAGGTTAGCATCAGCCATGGAAAGCAGAGAGAGGCTTCTCAGATGATTAATGGAGAAAAGTTTAGTTTTGGAGGCGTTAAACTTAACAAGACATCATTTTCCCCCAGTTAACGATGGACTTGGTCGTTTTTGGACATTGGCTGATATTTTGACCTTACATGAAATTTGACATAATTAAACACCAAAGTTAAGCAACATCAAGCCTGGTCAGTACCTAGATGGGAATACCAGATTTTGTACACTTAGATGTGTAGGTGGTGCAATGGATAATGGCTTGGAATTGTTAATCAGAGAGCCGAGTTCAAAATTCCCATTCGGCACATTATATTCACTTACATGCAAATACTCTTGGAAAAGGTAGGAACTCATCTCTTCTCCCCACAGCTATGGGTTAATTAGTAAGATTTATCACTAAGCCATTATTATCTCGAACAAAAAAAAGAAAAAATCTAAAAATATTTTCTGACTTTAAATAACCAGCAAAGTGTTGATAAGCCATAAAAAAAATGAATGAATCAATCAAATCTTCATTCACATTCCTTGAATTGTTTCAAGAAAAAACTGTTAAACCTAGAAAAGAAATCAATCAAAATTCTTCATCTAGAATCACAGATTCTTGCAACAAGGAATAAAAGAATTATCCTCACCAACAGTACCTGTGAAAAATTTAATGGTTTTTGGAATTTTCTGATTACTTAGATGAATAATTGTTTTGTTCAACACAGTGAACCAACTTTCATAGCAGCTGATCTAACAATGGATTCAATATGGTCTTTCCACTGCATGCCAGCTGAGAAGGTGCAATGAGTCACTTTCCTGGAGGTTAGCATCAGCCATGTTGATGGATGGCAGAGAGAAGTCTCTCAGATGATTAATGGAGAGCAGTTTAGTTTTGGAGGTGTTAAAATTAACAAGCCATCTTTTGCCCCAGTTAACAACAGGCTGAAGGTTGTTTTGGACATTGGCTGCCATTTTGATCTTATGGAACTGATCAGAGTTTATGTATGCTTTCTTTTTCTCATTAAGACCAGACAGTATTACTGATATATCTTTTTCTTCAGTTTTTGCTTGCAATCAAAATCAAATGGTCCATTATTTATCTGAGGTAATGGCAAGGTGTATAATGTAATTTTTATAATTTAATAAAGATTTTACTTTCTTAATGAAATATTACCTAGTAGGACATAACAGATATGTGAAGAAAGGAACCTAACGGATTATAATAAGACAGTGAACTTCTGTTTTTGAAGGTTATTTATACATTGTTGAAAGTTCGTCAACAGGAAGTGTCATTTGTCTGAAAACTGGATTTACTGAAACCATTAAATTGAATCTTCACTTCATTAAAAAAAGTAAAATAAAAATAAAAATATAAAATAAAAAAGCACCTGGATATATTCTATTTCCGGTTTTGTTGCCACTTGATCCCCAAAAATCACTCTGCTTTCCATTATCTTTAAAGTAGATGCTTCTTAGAAAACCAAACATTAAAAAGAACCATCTGCTAGTCTATCAAATAGAAACACTTGACATCGAGATAAAACCAGCTCTTCCCTTTCTACATGGGTCTACATAGTATCACAATATTGTTGAATGGTATATTGCTGGGCTTGAGAATTGTCCTCAAGACAAGAGAACATTAGCTAGAAATGACTGGTTAGGTTTTTGTGGACAATATCAGGACAATGATATTTAATAATATTTAACAATATTTTTAATTAAGATTCTAATGTTTCCCATTGACATGAAGTGGAAAGATTATATTGAATTAATTACTACGTCTGCTACTAGAAAAATTGGTTCACGGTGTCATACTAGACTATTTTTCTTGCCAGAATCTATCTTACACATTTATAAGTCTACTATTCATCCATGCATTGAATATTGCTGTTAAGTCTGGTCTGGTCTGGTGCTCCTACTACGTATTTAGAGATTTTTAATAAAATACAAAGAAGAATCTGCAATGTTATTGGTCCCGACCTGGTATCTCAGCTTCAGTTACTTTCCCACTGCTGTAATGTGGCTTCTCTGTAACTTTTCTATAAGTATTTTCATGGTAACTTTTTTGAGGGGTTTTCCTCTTTGGTACATAGATTTTACAAATTTAAGCTCAGTACTAGATTGGTGGAAAGATCTTGTCATCTTACAATTGAAATGGCCGCTAGATGTAAACCGTAAGTTCTATGCTAACAGTTTCTTCTTCCCTCACATGTAGAACTCTGTTCCAGTTTCTTGCTTTCAAGTCAACTTTGATCTTTAAAAATTTAAATGCAATATCAATTGTTGTCTTTTGTCTTCTTAATTCCAGTTCTTTCATTGTTCTCTCTCTTTAATAATGTTTTTGTTTTCTCATTCTTTTATGCCTAGTAACATTTTGCATCTTAGTGGCTTTATTGCCTTGCTTGGGTTGAAATGATTAAAAAAAAAATATTTATTCAAAAAGCAACTCATTTCTTAAATCAAAAAAAAATTCTTACTTCTCACTGATAGTCGTAGGCTTTTAAAAAATGGAATGTGTATGCACGCATACAGACAAAAAAAAAATTAAGCACTTCTTTTTAAACTGGTGACTTAACTCCAAATGAAATTACTTTTTATTTGTTGATTCTATTTTTTTAGATTTCTCTTGCAACTATTAACAGTTATCTTGGACAGTATTCTCCAGTTTCAAAGTTACTCTTCACCACTTATGGAAGCACAAAGAAAATGAGTGATAGTAAAGAAATTAAAAAAAAGTTACTTAGACAACAAAAGATAGGAAGTTGTTGAAAATCATGATCATCTACATTCTTAAAGGACATAGCACATAAAAGAATTTGACTCACCTGGTTGTGGAGAAGAGTTTCCCACCAATGTTTAAGGTGACCCACTCAGCTCCATCAACAGGCACTAATTTGGTTCGAGGTTTCTCTTTTGTGCTTACAGTTGGAGCTACCGACACAGAAACAGAAGACGGTGTCGTCCAAGATGGACAAGCTGAAGTAGAATTAATAAAAAATAAAATCAAAAGAATTGTACAATTGATATTAAAATCAATCAAATTATAAATAATATTAAATTTTTCTTTCTTAATTGTCCTAAAATTTCTTGGACTATTTATCTGAAAAAAAAAAAAAATAATAAAAAAATTAATAAGTAAAAATAAATAATCAACTACAGAAATCCAAAGACATATTGAAATAGCAAAAGATGCCTTCCAAAAGCTAAACAAAGCATTAAGAAAAAGGAAAATTTCATTAAAATCAAAGAAAATGCTGAACTGCTAAGCAATATCAATCCTCCAGTATAGCAGTGGATACTAGACAATTTCCTCACAGGGAGGGAAAAGAAAAGGAAAAGAAAGGCACTCCTTTAGCCAAAGTGTATCCTACAAATTGAACCATGGGAAACCATGTAAATCAAACCTCATTTACCTACTCAAGTAAATGTATATCTCTTGTTGAGACCCCTTTGAAGACTATAGCTGCTAGTTTTATTTTTCCTGGTTGAAAAAAGGAAATACAGATTTACTTCCTATCAGGAAACTTATTTCTTATTAATCAAGGCTTCTCAATTTTGCAGTTGGTTAATTTCACTAATTTTTAAACTAACATAGATGTCAACTCAAACACATGTACTCACTAAAAATGACATTTATACTATAGTAATAAGAAATAAAATCAGATTTTTAAAAAATCCATTAAAAAAAACAAAAAAAAACAACAACATTACTTTGTTTATGTTTTGGGTACAAAAATAAAGCAAGCCAATATAAACTTTGAAGAGTCTTAGATGCACATTTCCTAAGTAGGTAACCGTGTCGTGGCTTTTCATGGCCTAATTGGTCGAGTACAATTTAGTTAAAGGAGTGGTTTCCCTGATGGAAAAAGGGAATTCAGGTTCGATTCCTGTTGGGTGGCATATTTTTCATTAGTAACGACTTTTTGATTTCTTGGTTGGTTGACATTAATTTCATGATTTAAAAATAACAGGGAATAGCAACTCAAACATGTGAACACACTAAAAATAACATTTATAGTAATAAGAAATAATGTTGGATTAAAAATATAAACCTTCATATATAACAGGTAAATAATATCAATAAAGATATGATAGAGGTAATGATATTAATAATAATAATAATAATAATAATTATAGAGTGGGCCAATATTCACACTGGAAAATCTGCAACTTTTACAGGAAGGAAACTGCAAGAAAGTGGTATGAACATCACCCAGACCCAGTTACAAAGATAAGACCTGTAACAATTTTGGGGGATTTTACAATACACACAGACTGAACAATCAAAGCTAATCACTCTGACACCATGATTAGAAACTGCAAAGACAAAATGTGCCTCCTTATTGATATGGCGGTCCCTGCAGACTACAATGTATCTTTGGAGATCTTCAAAAAAAAAAAAAAAAAAAAAATACAAGGACCTTGAAATCAAAATCTCAAAAATGTGGCACATGAAGACATTAACAATTCCAGTTGTAGTTGGAGCACTTGGATTGATTGGAAAAGATTCCAATGGATTCATTGAATGGATGGTAGCTCATGCCTTAAAGAAATACAAAAAAAAATATGTTCGCACAACTACAGACCTTGCAAAGGGCTTTATCTATGTAAAATATATGTAATTTTATTTTTTAAACTGCTCAGTGGAAAATTTCATGATGACATTTTTCTTTTGTTTTTTAACAAAAATGATCAGTGTAAAATGTCATGGAACCATTTCTAACCTTAGGTCTCTGGTTGGGACCCAGAAGGAAGTGTGTATACAACAGAAATCAAAAGAAATAATAATAATATTATTAAACTTGATAATTCCAGCACAAGACCAAGCCCTTGCTACCAATGGTATAAATTACACACAATTCATCAATCCCTTCAAAATGTAAGCTATGTACTGAATACTCTGATAATGAGACTCACCTGATTAGTGGATACAAAATGTTAGCTCAAAAACAAAATGTAAGCAGTTCCATAATAAGGTATGCCATTATGTACATTGGTTATTGTAAGACATTTTTTATGTTTATACGTTCTTTTTATAGATACAAATATTTAAGTAAATGCTCTATTTATAATAAACAGTATTAACAACATTTACCAGCCTGAATGTCCAAGAAATTTTCATAGAAAATATGCGTCCTCTGACAGTAATCGAACCTGTATCCTATACGGAACCGTCATTTAGCCTGACGTGCTTTTACCGATTGAGCCACAGAGGTTAGCAAAGTCAATTTTACTGTTTTTAAACTACAATTCTCCATGATTTTCTCACATACATTCATATCTGCTTAATGTGTATCCAAATGTAAACAAATGACGTCACACATTATGAAATGGACAAAGTCCGACAATTATTTTAAGACATTTTTTATGTTTATATGTTCTTTTTATACATATAAATAAAAAATGTCTTAAAAATGAATAAAAGGACGTTTATGTCCATTTTATAAAAATTATTGTGTTAAAAGTATGGATAACAAGTTAAAGGAAATTGGTACAAGTTTTATGCCATGCAGAATATAATGGAAGAAGTTGGAAAGCACACAATATTCTGGGACTATGATTTTCATAAAAAGACAAAGTGATACACCATTGGCATCTGGATATTAGTATGCTTTTTAAAAGGCACCAAATGACACAAATATAGCAAACTACTCCGAAAGTTGAGATGGTAAGATGTCAAAGTGATTCCAAAGGTGATAGGAGCATTAGGATCAATTCCATTAAAACTGTAAATTCCTTGAATTTAAAGATATGTTATCGACTTGGAGTCATAAAAAAAAAAAAAAAAAAAAAAAAAAAAATTGGCTCTGCATATATGTTGAGGAAAATGTGGTCAGAGGTGTTGTGGCTTGCCAGATAATTTAAGGTACCCAGTGTATTCAAAAACTTACACATAACATAATATTAATAAAATTATTGACATAACTCTTCAAATATTTTTCAACAGTAAAGAGAAGAGTGCAATTTAAGAAATGCAAAAATAGTATTTGACAATATTAAACAATATTTTGACAGTATATCTGTCTTCTTCAAATACTGTCAAAATATTGTTTATCACTGTCAAACACTGTTTTTGCATTTCTTTTTCATAAAATAATAACTAGCAACCATACCAAGCTGGTCGATCAGAAAAAGTGTTCAATTAGAATGGAGCAAAAACAGTATCAATTTTAGATGTAACAGAGTCTGTCTTCTTCAATTACTTTAAAATACTTTCATTAAAAAAAGATTTTGAATTAATGCAGTTAGTGATATAGCAGAAGTAGTCTGTATTTATTCAATCAAAGTCAACTGAGGACATGAAGAGGTAAAACAACCAACAACCCACTTCAGACTACAATTATTTTATAGTTTTTGAAATTCAATCTGTCAGTGTGCTACCAGGGATGTAAAAGAGGATACATTTATAAAGCAATTGTTAAGTTTCATAAAAATTGATTGAAAGATCAACAAAAAATAAGAAACCAACATGTAAAATCACCATTTATCGCTATTTACATGGGTTTTCACTATATGGGTGGACTCAATTATCAAGTTAAATGACTGTTAAACCAACAACTTATTGTTGGCTACAATTGAGTGAAGTTTGTATTAGATTGCTTCAAAATTGAGGGAGTTTTTAATTTAAAATTTGTGTTGAAATCAATTTTTGTTTTTTGCGGCTTTTCATTAAATGCAGTGGCGTAGAAATAAAAATGAAGTATCGTTGAGCTCGTCATGATGTAAGTAATCTACATACCAAGTCTGAACGAAATTGGAGGAAAAAACGTTGAATTTATTGATTTTTGATCAGCTTTATCAATTATTGATTTTTTAAAAATTATCAATTTTTTATGCTAAGAACCTATCTCTTACATTGTACAATGTATGTGTCAAGTTTCATCAACATCGGTTGGATGGTTCTTGAGTGATAAAATATCACACAGACATCCTCCGTTTTATATATATAGATAATAATAATGATAATAACATAAAGTTAAAGTCTTCAAATGTATACAGTGAATGTCTGTAAAAAAAATGAAAATGCTTTGATGAACCCTAATATAGACCTATGTGAAATATGAAACAGTTAAATGTTTTTACTTACGTCGAAATGGTTCACCCTCAGAGATATACAAAACATCATCATCTCTGGAAAAGCAAAAAAGAAATTGATTTGATATGAACAAATGCAAATATTAAAACAGAAAAAATGAATAAAACAGGAGAAATGGAAAAGATACACCTTAAACTTAACATGAGATATAATGGAAAAATAAAACTGAAAATAATTTTTCCAGAACCTACTCGATTCCCCAAATCATAACTTTTCTCTACTCACAATGATTGGTTGTTTTTGTTTATTAAGCTCCACACCAGTCACAGTGAGGATCTGGGTATTCTCTCTGGTAAATTCATGAAGGTCATTGTGAATAGCCAGTTTTCTGAAGATCAATGCAAACCTCCTCCAAGGATATCTTACCCTCTTTTTGTTTTTTATTAACAATCTGCCAAGAAACATTCTCAGATTATGAGTAAACATCTATGCAGATGAAACCTCTGTTCATGGCTGCACTTCCTAAAAGAAAAAAAAAATTACAAGATGATTGGAGCCTTGCAGCTAATCTCTCCTTTGATCCAACAGCTGAAATGGAGAAAATTGGTTTGGTTTGTTTTATGGCATATCAACTTCAATGGGTTATTTAATTCTGATAAGATTTTTGTTGATGGTAATATTTTTTTTTTCAAAACATGTATTGCTGGTAATAATTTTTTGTTCAAAAATGTATTGCTGGTAATATTTCTTTCTAAAAATGTATTGCTGGTATAAAAACCTATTTTTACAGGTTCATAGTTTTTTGACCCCAGTTTAGGGAGGGGTAACTATTTGCCCATAGGTAGGACCCTAACAGATGCTAAATTTAACCCCAGGTTTTTTCAAACCTGTGAACACCAGCAATTAAATAGGTGGTTGCATGCTCCTCAAAACCTCCTGATCAGAGGCCTCAATTGCCAGATGTAGTTTATCATCATAATTTTTTTAAGAGAGTCAGGGGGAACTGGTTTCTAACTTTCAATACATCAAAAGCCAAGCTGGTAGTGTTTCATCATCACTGATTTGAAATTGAGTTTTCTAAGGGCCATGATGTACGACTGCACTTTCAATGAGGTTCTATGCTTTGAATGTCTATTGGGTCTGAAGTTCACTTCAGACCCAATAGACATTCAAACATTCATTAGGAATTAAGCAACTTTCATATATCTTATTTATATATATTGCCTGAAAGAATGATTGTTAATAATTTGCAAGGAAAATGTTCAATAAAAGTTTCACTATAGAAAATTAATGCAAATACTCTTATGAGGAAAGACAATAAAGGATTCAATAAATGTTGAAATTCACTGCAAATTATTTTATTAGATAAATTCATTGTGAATAGCATATGTTGAAAATAATTTATTTTATAAAATGAATGAAGTGATTTTACTATAGATTTACATTTCAATTGATTCTGGAAATAAAACTATAAAAATGTCTTTACAATAGAATTGTATTGCATGTGATTTACTATTGTCAATGAAGTTCTATAAAATTTGATTTAAAATGATTTACTATGGAAATGCACTGAAAATGATTTACTAAAGTATAATAGGAGACCAGTTTGTATCAAGTAGCAGCTGGTTTGATGACAGGCTTGGGGGGGGGGACTATGTTTCTCTGGTAAATATAAATATTTTGTCTGACAAAAAAAAAAGAAACTGTCAAAAGACAGTCTTTCCCTTGACACTGCTATTATTTTAACTACCTTCAGTGTATGATAATGTTTATTGTTTTAAAAAGTAATGACTAGAATTGTAATAAAATGTAAACATATTTTGAAAGCAAATTTATACCCTTTTTTTATTCCTGAGAATTTACAACAAAAATATCACACAATATGTATTAAATTATTTACAAGAATAATTTTATACTTACCACATTCTAAAAATTAACACAATTGTATTAAAACTAATGCAGTATTTATCATTTACCAATTTATAAAGAAATAAATATGAAAACAATTTTTATTCATAAATTTATAAACATTTACTAAATTATTAAAATTTGTGAATTTCATAAAGTTTGAATCAATTGGCAATTATCTGATGTTTTGCCAACCATTCCAATAAATAATACAATAGTGAAAATAAATAATCTAATAAACAAATAGTGTTTATTATTTTTGTTTTCAATTCTCAAGAATAGAGAAAATGTATAAATTAATTTTCATATGCTTGGGTTTTATTAAAATTCTTATTGTTTTTTAAAACAAACATTACCGAGAACTGTAAATAGTTAAAATAGTAACAGTGTCAAGGATAAAACCATCATTTTGACACTTCATTTATGTGCCATTTTTTTTTTCTATAAGCCCTTATGGTATTGATCTTCATGACTCAAGAAGCCAAGGGTGGACCCCTTACTCTGACAAAACACTTTGAAAAGTGTCAATAAAAACTGAAATGATGAATTAAAAAAATAACAATAAAATAAAATTAGAAAAAATGTTAAAAAAATAACAAAAACTAAAAGAAAACATTATCCCAAAGTTTTATTTATCTACTAAATATATGCCAAATAGATATATATTTTAATTATCTAAGAATAAAATAATGTAATCTATATAGCCAACATTTTCAGAAAGTTAAGAGTGAACATCTTTAATTTCTTTCCTGACTTTTGGGACATCATGTCGTAATAGAAACATGAAAGTGAAAGAGAGATGATGAAAAATCAGAGCCAAAAATAATTACCTGATTAACTTGATGTCATCAATCAATCCTCCTTGGGGCGAATAGATTGATCGGGCTGTGATTCCAAGCTTGCGACCAGCCTCAAGAAGGACTTCATCAATGCATTTCCCTAAATTGATTACCTAAAGAAAATAAACAAATGGAAAAGACATTCAGTCGGATTACCATTTTACCTGTGAAAGGTTTACAGAAATGGAAAGATCTGCAGAATCCTTTTTGACAAGATCAGTCAGTTATATGCCACGTGTGATACATGCTTGGGCGATCATGTATCTTTTGATACATGACTGATGAAGCAGATTATTTTTCCCTGCAGTAGGTTGCCATTTCTTTCTGCGGTAGACCAGTTGCCATCCAAGGCTATAGAACCTGGTCTTTCCTGCTATTTACCCATAGCAGGAGGGAGAAGAAGAGTATTCATACTTTTCCCAAGGGTATTAGAACATAAGTGAATGTAATGGATTCAACTGGAATTTGAACTCAGCTCTCCAATTCCTCAATCCAAGCCGCTATCCATTACTCAACTGTGCCTCTGACAAGATATCAATGTGAAAAGACAGCAGAATATATTGAAAAAGTAGCTTGAAAAACAAAAACAAAAACAAAAACAAAAAAAAACAACACAGCAGTAGACTAAATGGAAGACTGAAAGCAACTGCAATATAATATCAGATTTGTTGTCATTGTCCAGGACTGAACAAGGTTATACAGTCAGTATAGCTGAACCCCTGGCCCATTTCCTCCACATATCTGGATTGAAAACCAGAGACATATCATTCATACGTAATGTCTCTTGGGCAAGCAGACAAGGTGGAGCCTATCCCTATTCAGATCAAACCACAGCTGACATCTTTCAACTTTTGCTCTTCTTGATCACAGAGACATGGCTATTAATTCCATTAAGAGAACCCTGCAAAATGGTCTAGGAAGCCCTCTACCCAGCAATGTCATCATCACACTGGCTACATACATAGCTACAGAGTACAGTCTACCTTATTGTATTAGACGGCCTCTGATCCTACAAGAAGGTTTATCAATTTTTTGTAAGATGTTTTTAATACTGCTGGTTGTCTAACCATTCTCTTCACCAGAATAGCCTGGTAAGGGAAACAGTTTATTTGCCAATGACTGAAGTTTCAGCTACCCTTATTAAGAAAAAAAAAATATTGATTATTAACTTATTCTGGGGCTGTCAGGTTTTATTATATAAACTAAGTGCCATGTAAATCTTCTATATAAATAAATGCAAATGTCAGTGTGTCACACTTTTTCAACTTTACTCCTAGAGGCCGTAGCCCAACATATCATGCCATTTTGGAATCAGGCTGACTACATGAGTGAATTAAGAACATTCTGGGCCAGATCGGAACCCACAATTCTGAAATTCTGGATTCCCAAATTATCATTAATGTGATTTTTTTTCACAATTTTTTCCACTCTGCAACTTCTTTCCACACAGGCACAATGGTGCAAGCTTGTTGCTACTCTATCACTCTTTCCACAGACTCAAATCACCACAATTACTCTGCGTTCCAAATGTAAGAAGAAAGTTTCACTTTAACAGCTTTTTATCAAGAACTATTACTTTGTGGGACAGACTCCTACAAGGGTGCTTCTCCAATCACTAAAATCTTAATCTCTTCAATTGTTATCTATCCACCATATATGCATAATGATCACTTCCTACTTCCTTCTCTTGCATTTATGTAACACTCTTCCCTGAGTGGCTATTGGGTCCTGTATTGAATGAAATATAGCAAAAAGAAAAAAAATAAATAAAATTTAGAATTATCAGGATTAGTCCATTATAAATGATAACAATTTCTTTATATACAAGTAACAGATCTGTTGATTCATGTTCAAGTCTGAGATCTACAAGTTTATCACATTTACAACAGAAATGTTTTTTTATTGATTCATTTTCTATGGGTTAAAACCCTTTGCAGGTTATTTAAAGCCAGAAAATATTTTTTAGATTGTAAGAATTTTATTTTAAGATAATGATTTTAGTGATACAAGTTTTACTAATTAACCCATAGCTAGAGGAGAAGAAATGGATTCATACATTTCCCAAGAGTATTTGTGTGTAAATGAATATAACAAACCCAACTGGAATTGGAACTCAGCTCTCTCATTAGCAATTCCAAGCCATTATCATTACACCACACCAAACCTTACAGCATCCGGTATTCTTCAATCTGGGGACCCATTTATGTACTGACCAGACTCAACATTGCTTAACTTTGGTGATTGTACAGGAATGTTTTAACATGGTGTGGCTGTAAGCCTAACAGAAATGCAAAATACCAGGTTAGTGGTTGACTCAATTGAGAAGTATTGCCGTTATGACAAATCAGTTAATTTATCTTATACAAATTTTCTAGTTGTGTTCAAATTACTCATGGAATGGAAAGCAGTTGTTCTTTCTTTTTTTAACACTTCACTGCATAAGGTTAATGTGTTAATTAATCAACAAAGAAAGGTACATGATGGGAAGAAAACAAGTTGCTTGCCTTACATAAGATAAAAATGGTTGCTGATTCAAGACAAAAGACCAATTTTCAGTGGATAAAGATTATTTCTTTGAATTAGCAAAATCCAGAGAAAACTCCAGTTCTTATTGATAGGAATAAATTACTGGTTGAGAATTGTAAATTGCTTAGAAAATATTTTTTGTAATAATTTTCAAGTGAAAATTTACAAAAATTGTTTTATTGATTGATTGATTTTCTATAACTTATCAACCCATTTCAGGTTATTTAAAGCCAGAAAATATTTTTAAATTGTAAGAATTTTATTTCGAGATAATAATGGTTCAGTGGTGGAGTCATACCTAATCAGAATTTGATAAACAAACAAATTATAATGTGCATATGAAGACCAAGAAAAAACAATTTCATTCATTACTGGTTATTCAGTTTAATCCTCAAAAGAATTCAAGACTGATATGTTCAAGTGACAAAAAAAAAAAAAAAATACATAATACAAATAATCATAATGCTAAAAAAATTTGTCCAGAATCATATATCACCATTTAACACATCTGTAGATTTATTACCAACATATAATTATATAAAAAAAGAACTAACATCTCAATTTAATATATTGCTGTGTTTTCTTTTACATGTCTTTCTTCACAATTCATTTTTAGCATTAACCCGGAAGATTCCACTGTTACAATTCCAGTTGAGTTCATTATTTTCATTTATGTGTAAATATGTTTGGGAAAAGTATAAATCCACATCTTCTCCCCATAGCTATAGGTTAATCAGTAAGACTTGTATCTCTAAAGCAGGTTATTTAAAGCTAGAAAATATTTTTAGATTGTAAGAATTGGAGCGGAGAGAGATAATCCCCTCAAATTCTTACAATCTAAAAATATTTTCTAGCTTTAAATAACCTGAAAAAAAAAAAAAAAAAAAAAAAAAAATCAGTCAACCACTGAATAGCTACACAGGAGGCATGTCTTTTAGATTTATTTACATTCTATGGAATATAAATGTATAGAAACTGACATGGCCACAATGTGGGGGATTAGTTTATATATTGATTATAATATAGAATTGTAACAGTGGAATCTTCCGGGTGAATGCTAAAAATGAATTGTGAGGAAAAACATGTAATAGGAAACACAGCAAGATATTAAGTTGAGATGTTATTTCTTTTTTTATGTAATTATATATTGGTAATAAATCTACAGATGTGTTTTGTTTGGTGCATGTTAAATTGTGACTGTACAAATTTTTAGCATTATGATTATTTGTATTATGCATACATTTTTTTTTTTTTTTTTAACTTTCTTGAATTCTTTTGAGGATTAAACTGAATAACCAGTAATGAATGAAATTGGTTTTTCTTGGTTTTAACTTTTGTAGTAGTCAGATCTTCACATCTGCTGCAATGCAAATCAAAAGTCGGACTGCCTTGTCCAGAGGTTAAGTGAACACTTATTCCAATACTGCACAGATTTTTGGCAATAAAAGAAGAGAAAGGTTTTCTATTTTTAGCTGTGATGAAATATCATCACTTAGAGACCACTACACCATCTGATTATCTTTTTGTATCATGATTAATAACCAAAATTATTTCTTCCATTCATTTTATTTTTAAATAATTCTTTTCCATAAAAATGGTACTAACAAAATAAAATTGATCAACAAAGATATATCATGATACAAAAACTATTGTGGATTGTTGACTATTAAAACAAATTTAATATTTGAAAAGGGAAAACATAGCATTCTCTTTTCTCAACTATAAGTTTAAATAGCAAAGAAGACGGAGATCTCTAGCCTTGGTTAGCAAATATTCTGAGAGAAGAAGAACAATGGGAAACTTCTCTATTATCTTTTCCAAGAACTGTCATGGCGATGAACTAGAGATAAAGAGATATTAAATAAAAAGGGACCTGTAGAGACGTGAATCGCAGTTGAGGAGTTGATTAAAAAAAAAAATAAATAAATTCCAAGGGAGTTCACTAAAAATACTTTTTAGCACAAGTTGTTCCCCTTGCTACATAGTGTGAATTGTTAAAATTGATATTTTCGCCGAATTTCCTGTAGCAATTATTTGGAAATGAGGTGGCTCATATCTTTTTATAACTTGCAATGATTCTGCTTATCGTTTACAAATAACTTCAAAATACATTTTCAAACAAGAGTGACAAAAATACAAGACGTATCAGCTCGTCAGTATGATCCCTAAACACATACGCTCGCAACGGACAAAAAAAAAAAAAAAGGGACAATAATAGAGCAATTGATTGTCGCCCCGAACCGAAAAATAAAATTATACAGGGTGCGCCAGAATACCTCCCAGATTATGGTAAGATATTTAGTGGTTATGGTGTCTTCAATGTCTTATTATGTGGGAGATATTTCTGCCGCACCCTGTATTTGGGATTGATATCAATGAATAGACAAACCAAAGAAAAGGAAATTTTAAATTTTCCATTTTCTAATAGCAGTAGAGAGAAAAAAAAGAAAAGAAAAACAAAGTTTTACTGTCAAAACAAAATCTTTGCTATTTATCAAGAGGAAAGCCAAAGGTTTTTGGGGGTTTTTTTATTATTACATTATTTTTTTTTAATCCACTTTAGAACTTTCTAATTTTTTTTTTTTTC